CCCAGGTTCAAGATATTGCTAATTTTGTTTTGTATCCTTCCGGCTCTTCTGACTGAGGGTGTGAGGTCAAGAAGGTTTAGATTTTTGAGTTTGACATAACGAGCTCCTCACTGGAGATTATGGATATGGAAATGGAGAGAAGCTCGTGTGAAAGACGATTTTCAGAACCGCTCCCGAGATTTTTACGAAAATGATTTTTTTCTTACAAAAAAGGTTTTTTGCTGCAAAAATGCTTTTTTACGAATATAGCTTTTTGCAGAAATTCTGAGACTAGTCCTGAGAATCCCGAAAACCCCTAGGGATAGGAAGACTCGGCCAGATCTCTCATGCTATTTGTGTGAACAAAAACGAGCAGAAAGAAAGTTTTTTTAGAGTGTTTTCAGGTTGCTGTCCTTTTACTGCTGCCAATTGTTGCCCTGATTTGAACTCATGCTGTCCAGCTGGATTTCGATGTGGCAATGAATCCTGTATACGATGTGGCAATGAATCCTGTATAAGAATGTAAAGTCTGAACTACTGGGTTAACTGGTACTGTGAACAATATCGATTGATAAAGTCAGGTATACAGGTGGTTTACTGTAGCTCAGTGTGCTCAATACAGGTTTCTATTATTTCGCCATCCTACTTTTTTTTAATGCGGAAACCCTTCGGTACCTCTGTCACCTTCATGTTGACTTTTTATCTAATTCGTTGAAATTGTATGCCAAAGTTTAGTCTCATTTTTGAAAATGCTGCTTGATCTTGTGTTTTCTGTATATTTACATTCCTTGCTGCCCTATTTCTAGCTCTGTATTCATAACTTGATGGCTAGAGGGGAAAATGAAAAAAGAACAGTAAAGATGCTCAGAACAGCTTTAAACACATGTTGATTCGTATAAAAATTTTAAGAAAGTTAATCTTTCAACGAACGAGTACCTGTATCCTCCTACACTTGACGGGTACCGACTAATGTGAAGGATTCGATCTACTAACCAAATACCGTTGTCACATCCATTTCCAAGGGTGGCTGAATAACCTGCTCAGTGTAGAGGGGAACCAAAAATCCCTATCAGTGTAGTTCAGTAGTTCAGATGTTATGAACGTCATTCCGATACGAAATGTTTCAATTTTCCGACGATATATTGGTCTCGCCATCGCCTACGGCTACAACATAAGTGGCTATCAGAAGTTACGGTAATAGACATTCAAAACGGGGAAGCCCATAGTTGAAAACAGTCTCGAGAAACACCCCTATTTCAGCAAAGATGAATTGAGGATTCGGGGTAGTATGCTCTACACATGTAGTGTTCCCAGTTGGATCAAGTTTCCACTGAAATTTGTCAACCAATTAAACAGACCTCCTTAGGAATCATGACATATGGATGAATCAATACGGACTGGTTTATCCATATATAATCAAAAAGAGAGAACCGTTAATGAGCCCCATTCTTGATTATAATCGTGTTTCATTGAGTAATACGACCAATCCGTACCCAGTAGGTGTAATCTGCTTCAATTACTCGTAAGCTTCGTAAATTAATAACACTGACTGACTTCTCGACAGGAACGCCTTCTTCAAAGCCTGATAAGTCTCGCTACGGTATTTGGGTTATAGAACAATACCCGGAAATCGGCCATCCTGACGACCGATTGATGAGGTACCACTACCCTGTACGCCTTTTCTCACATGCATTTGGCAGCTTACACCATTTGGAGCTGGTAGACATATTGTTTTATTATTACTATTTTGTTCATCAGATTTAAAATCATAACACAAAAACACGAAATTATAATATACGTATTTAACCGTTTTGACATAGCGCTCATAAATCTTTCTATGAACAATCTCATTGTCATATAATTAATTAATTATACACAAATTCTGTTGTTGAACATAGTTAAAACAATGTATACTAATAAGTAGTTTAAAATAATCACCTATGTATGATGGATGGAATGATGGCTGGGATGCATGGAGACTTGAAAAAAAAGTGAAGATCCCGTTAAGGAATATATTAATCAAATGGATTATTACGAGAACATTTTGAACAGATTTTTAAAAATCAAATAAAAAACAAGGTCAAATGTCACAGAAACATACCGGAATAGGGCAAAGTTTGGCTAATCACAAGCGCCTGAAGCAGTGTATGAGACGAGAACGTAAATTTCACATTCAAAAAAAAAAAAAAGAAAAAGAAAAAAACGAGAAACACCGATGATGAATGAAGTAGTGCATGAATTTGGAATGGCTATGCATTGCGCACATTTATACCAGCCTTATCATCTGCAACTATCACAACGAATTCACAAGCGCTACTAATACAATAGAATTCCGTAGTGACGAATTTTTTTAAAGAAACATAACCCAGATTTTCAGAAAAAAAAATTCAGTAAAATGCGCAGTAAGCGCATAAAATTTTTAATGGTGGAAGGAAAAATAACAAATCAGAGATAAGTAGGCCATGAATAAAAACTGACTAAACGGCAAACAAATTGATGTAAAAAGAGACCATATGATAGTGAGCATTCGATGCCGAACTTCAAAAATCACAGACGATGCATCCTTGGAGTCAAACTGCGTCTGAAACCGAAAACAGAAGCGTCAGAAGAACAAACTAAAAATTAAATAAAATAATAAGTAAAAATAACGCCAGTCAATAAATAATAAAAGTATTAACAATAACTAATAATAAAAGATTGGGTTAATAGATGGATTACGAAATAACGCAAACCTTAGCTACGGTTAGACCAATGACGCTGGTTTAGAAGACAATTGATCTTCCTTGAAAATGGCTTCTTCCTGTTCCAGCGCCCGAGCGGCTTCTTTGTCAAGCTGATCAAGCTGGTCCTGATGTCGTTTTGCAAGCTGCTCCTCATGTTTCTCCGCTCTTAATGAGTTATCAGTAAACACCACAACGGTAAACACCGCAAAACAACTTGACCAACTTCTTTGCTAATCGTTTTCTCTCCTCGACAAACATTTTTAAGTTTTTCTCGTGTAGCTCTTTCAACCTTCGCTCCCTTTCTGCTTTTGTTTTTATTCCTTTGTCCTGAACAACGGGGGGTGATCATGGGTCGAACACGAGTACCACAAGAGCGAGTAACTCACGAGGTTGAGAATTTTAGCATCTTCCATGCTCTTCTTGGTCTGCGTTTGCTTGAGCTCCTTGGTTTCGCTTTCGAGTCGCAGTTTGAGACCTTGCATTTGTGCCTTCTGCGCTTCTAACAGAAGTTTCCTGAATCAAATAACAAAAGATATTTTCTCAAAAAAAAAAGAAGAAGAAGGGACTCTTGGAACGTAGAATACCTCAAAACTGCGGTTTGAATGGAACTATATTTTCATGAGAACCTCATGCATGAGCACAACTAGGCACCAATGAAATCAAATTAAATCGAAAGGGTAGACCGTTCATGCAGAACGGAATTCACTCATTTACTTTTTTGTAAAAACTTCGCAATAGATCGCCCACTCATGATCATCCATAGACCCCACGATTAAACTTCATGTAAAACACCCTCACCTGAGCGTTTCGGTCTGTTCTCGCAGCTGTGATTTCTTCAGTTCAAATTCCTCTGCTTCATGACGTCGCATCATCGCTGACCATTCATCAGTTTGCACATTGACAAGAGATCGGACCTGAAAGAATGCTGGTGAAGCATAGACACAACAAATAGATAAAATCAATACAAAAATTTCTATGGAGCAGGGAGCAGGGGTAACCAATACACTGATTACAACATGAACCATGGTCAGGAACACACTCTCCCATCCTCCCAAAACAGCCAAACATGACTTTTAACGGTAGGGATTTTAAAGGCACAGTGCACGATAAAAATAGTTTCTGAGATTCTCCCCTAGAATGAAGCCGAGGCCCCCTCCTAAACCATATCTGGCGCTATCAGGTCGGAAAACGGACAAGTTAGGGAGCTATGAAGGCTCAAAGATTGGCCCGTGTGTGTGTGGACGAGTTTCACCGGCATTGTAGAGGTTGCACCGTCGACAAAGAAACCCATGTAAGAAGTTCAAATTACTTGTCATGACCCATAGCGACAGCGAAAGGCAGTTCTGTACATTTTTGAGTTGATGTAGTAGGCTCTTTGTGCAACTGCAACAACTGTAATCTCGTCCGAATACACCTTTCTATGTTATTTCCGTCATGCTAATCTCGTCCGAACTCTATTTTCCTTACTTTTGAGAAGCCATATTTTTCTGGAAATCGGCGAATTCTCTTCTTTTTTTCACTACCTATGAATTATTCCCAAGCTAGAACTCCGCTTCTCGAATAAAAACGGGTACCTCAAAATTGTCGTGAACTGTGCCTTTAAGCCAAATACATGCATGACGAGTGTGAGCACAAAGGAATCTTACTCGATCGTTCTTCGCCATGTCACTAGCTCCTGCACTATCACTGCTGTCACTTGTCAGCCGTCGGCCACCTTTTTCTTTCCTCGTTGAACGTCGATTGTTCGTCATCAGCTTGTCAACATTAGTTTGCTAAACGGAATAAATAAAATAGCTTCGAAAAGGATCAAGTACAGCGAAGTCACTTCATTCGGCAATATGTCCATCGCTTCACGAACGCTAACACGGATTGGAATAGACTATTTTTGTCATGAAAAACGTCACGATTTGAAACAAAAAAGCAAAAAAGCTCGCACATTTCACCGAACAAAACTTCAATAACTAAACGCTTGACATATTAGCTTCAATTTTAACTGCAAGTCGTTGTTATACGTAATCGCTCACGTCGTGGCTATTAGTTGTTAATTGATTCCCATAACGTTACAGAAAGTATCACTAAAGCCAAAAGAAAGTTAGAAGCTGTATTCTCGCACATGAAAACTTACAATCCAAGCGATTGAGGCGCGTCTGGGTGGCTGTAAGCATTAACACTGATATTTTGCTATTATACCGATTTCAAAAGTGTTGTCGTTCGAAACATTTATGACAGTAGAGTTACCTTCAGAGCCCAGGATAACAACATCAACTCAAAGGGAACAAGAAACGTCATGGTTACAAACCTGTTGCTTTTGAATGCTATCACGCTGCTTTTGGTGCTTTCTTTTCAATTCCTCACTATCCTTCTGGAATCTTTTCAGGAGTTTTGCGAACGCTTTGTCCTTTTTCAGTTCGTCCACATCAATTGGTTCGACCTAGAAAAATTAAGCCATCAATGGATGGAGTAACCAAATGTTCACCACAACAGGACATCTCAGGAGTCTGGATAACAGGTTAACCACGGAAACGTAGGGAATCAAGGGGTTTGTGCGGCCAAAAAGGGATCACATAACAAGAAAAATTCCGCATTCTGGGAGGAAGTGTGCAGCGGTCAACCTGCAACTTCTCGTCGTGGCGTGAACGTCTCACGGAGCCGTATAAGGACCTGTCTCCTTCTGCACTCAGCTTCCGTGCAACTGGAGGAGCTGATAGATGTGTAGAATCTTCATGATTTCTACCTCGCATCAACGAGCGTTTCAGCGAGGTTCCAAATGACATTTGCTGTATGATGTCTATTCAATTCGAACAAACCCAAAAAATAATAATCGATTCACAAAAAAGGAGGAACTCTCTCACCTTAAACTTGTCTACCGAAGCAGGCGCCGCTTCGTTGTTGACTTTGGATGTGCCGGATGCGGCTGCACAACCATCTGAGCGAGCAGAAGATGGTGGATTTTCCCTTCTGAAACCATTTACATAAATCTAGCTGTATTTCTTCTGCTGACCGTATAGTACTGATGAAGGATATAGGTGACAGAGTGTGATCTTGATTCAAATATACCAATCGTTATCATTCGATACCATCCGTTTTGCAAGAGACCGAAAACGAGTTTAGGTCATACCCGGCCCCCGCAACGAGCACTAAAATCGCACGTAGCAGAAACTGGTTTTCAAGTTTAAAAAGTACTTTTTCCGCAAACTATAAATAAAAATGAAAAGGACATTCGATTTCAATGGTTTTTCTGGTGCTTGCCTTACGAAGGTTTTGTGGCAGGTAAAAAATTAATGGTGGAGAAACAAGGTTGTGACAGGTTACGAAAAAGAGCAAAATCTCGGACTATAACACGAAGTGATTAATTTTCACAGATATTCAGGGAATAATCAAAAGGGGACGACACTTTTTTATCTACTTTTTAGCATTTCTCAAATAAATAAATTTCTACCTTTTTGGAGTATAGTCCGGGGAGTAATGGTAGTTGGAGCGCTATAATTACATCTGAGAAAATCAATGTCGGAAAATAACTCACTCGCTTAACAAATTTGCAGCCGAGCCGTTGGTTTTTTGAAGGACTTTACCTTTTACCGCAGCAGCTTTTCCGGCAGGTACCTTGAAATGAGTACGACAGACTTCAAGGAAATGGAAAATGAAGAACGCTCTATTTAAAGCTAAGTCACCTCTACTATATCGCTATCGTCAACACCCATATGCGCTAGCGCTTCCTGCCGTTTCTTCTGCTCAGAAAGGTAAGCTCTAGGATCGGCCAAAGCATCAACCAAGCCTGAAAATTTTTTATGTTAGGGCAATCACCTCTACTACATAGTTTACAAAACATGTCGATGCAGCCCCACCGCTCAGCTCGTCAGGTACGTAAGTCTTGATGACAATGTGAACGAATAACGTTGGAGCAAGAACCATAGTCTGAAGGTCAAGCGGAACATATGTAGGTAAGTTTCTAAGGTAGGTTGAGTTTACACAATCAAATCATACTTGATTAGTATCAGATCGAAGGGATATATGCCGATATCCAGCCTGAAGACCGTCCAAAGGCAAAATGCGCTGTCCCAGTTGCTTCCCATTCTCATCGTAAACAGCAAACCGTAGAACAGCCAATTCTGGTAGCACTACCTAAAATCGAAGAATTTCGTGTTCAAATCATAAAACAAAAAAAGATTCTGGGATAGCGAATTAGACTTCAGCGAAAGTTATCACATCTGTGTTAAAAACTGAAGTTAAAGTAAGCACCTTTCTGAAGACGAATGGAGCTTCACTGTAGACAGGATTGAGTCCATTGGCTGGGATAACTTTGGTCTTATGCTCCTTTCTAATAGTATCTGTTGGCAAGCCATACATTTCGACCTCCACATACGTACCAATCTTTTTGTCTGTCAGAAATTGTCCCGAAATCACCTGAAAATTTAAGTTCAATGGTGTTACTAAACACAGTCGATTGAAAAGTTTGAACTTACCCGAACACTACAGTGGGCCGCAATCACACCATCAACAGGAGATTCAGAAAATGGATCAAAGGTCCTATCGGGTCGGCGCATGAAATCAGGCTTCAGCAAATACCTGGAAGAAAAGCTTTCTCAATGTTAGCACAATGATTGGAAGGCTCCTTCTCATGCTTTGGAGAATATAACAATCCCGTTTCACCCAGATTAAAGCCAAATTGCATTGATGGACTACAGTTACAGCCACCCCTCATTTACTTTGCTAACCAATGTCTGCAAGACTTCGGATTAGTGATGACTAATATTCAGTCAAGAGAGATCCCAACATTCTTGGATGACTACGAAACTCTTTGACACCTACCCAGATCCACAGTTGTACTCAAATTTGCCCATATTCAACTGCATATATACATCAGGAGTTTGGAAATTCAGTGCAACCATCTGACAGCCAGCATTCCAAAAAATCTGGAAAAAAAGAATAGAATGAACGCCTCATGCATGTATCTCTTAAAGAAATAAAAAATGTCCAAACATAAAAACAGCCCAAACCTGTGGCAGAAAATTGCTTGAATCCACCCTGGCACCTTTCGGATATATCCTACTCAGCTGGCGCTTGTTATAGTTGACAAACTCAGGCGCGCACTGTTTCAGATATCCAAGACCAGTGGACTCGGAGAACGATGACATGTGGAAGTGCAGGTTATTACCTGAAATTCTTCCAATATTTCGAGAAGCTAATGCTGCAAAGTAAAATGGGCAAGATAGGTAAGTTGCAGAGCTTCAACGGCGTAAAATGCAATTTGAACACTCGAAAACGTGACAGACTCTTCGAAACTCACTTTCCGCGACATCAAATCCACTGAATTTCACTGGATGGGTGTAATTGATCAGTGACGACAGCAAAGGATGAATGTTAGTCGTTGCTCCTGTGTAATGGTATTCAGCAAATATGCGCTCTTCTTCTTCTTTGGTCAGTACAGGCTGAAAGTAAAAACCACAGAATGAGGACCGCGAAATTTCGAAGAGGAATGTCTCGTAATTCAGGTAAAGATGTAAGCAACAGGGTTGGGGATTTAAGCAAATTGCCCTTTTGTTGGCTTTGCCTAAATAGGTGTTACAATAAATTGAGGCTTCACAACTCCAGTATCCCCGTTACCTTTCAAATCCTGGCATCGTTTTAGCATTTAAACTGAAATTGTTCCCAATTTTTTATTGTTCTCAAAAGAATAGTCAGCGAAATAGTTTCTGTTCCATTAGTGCAATACTGGAAGTAATTTACTCTCTGCAGGAAAAAAAGAGGAAAAACGTTAAACTGTTCTCTTGTGAAAGACCAAAGATTTAGTAAAAATCCATCAGAGGTCTAAAAGAGAGTCTAAAAACCAGTGGTCTCGAAAACACGCCAGAAGAGTCGGCTTCTGCAGTCTTCTAGGAAATAAACATGCTGAAGCCTCACTTTTTTGCTACACTTTTCAGTTGATGTCGGTTAATTACGAGACATTCCTCGAAACACTAAGCATTCCAAGCAATTAAAGAAAAAGCACAACAGGAACAGCTTCAAAAAAATGATACATGCGGAGATGAAGCCATAACATAGAAATAGGAAGGTTATCAAACCAACAAAACTTTTGAATCAAAAATGGGAAGCGTGCGATTATATCCATGCAAAGAGCGGTGCAGTCATTCAGGGTCACCAGGGACATCACTAGGTGCAGACCGAGACGTTGCCTGTTACCCATTCTGACTTCCTACTTGGTGATCAAGCAGTTTTTTATCCAGGCAACATTTCGGTTAATTCTACCTTGCGGTGAATAAAAATCGAAACGCAATGGTGAGGGCCTTCAATTCCTTAATCATTCAAAAGCGGATAAGTGAAGAGGAAAAAAATGCACTCGCTTCAAGGTGGCGTTTGGGCAGCAAAATGAGGCCTGGGACAAACTATGATGGGTTTCAACTTGAAATGAGGTAAGCCAACAGTCTTGGATAAGCTTCAGAGTGTTCAGAGAAGCTAGCTAATCGAAACAAGGCGGTTCGCAAATTCTGAAGAATCGGGCTCTTCAAAAAGTGATTTCTAGCATTCAAACGTCTTCGGTCAAATGACTATGGGATGATTTCAAAAGCATCAGTGCGCAAATGGACACATGGATTTGGTTTTCTCACTAGCTCCTTCCGAATGATACAGATCTTCGAAACTTTCAGTAAAGCCTGATCATTTCGCGCAAACTTCCGCTCATCACTGTTCTACCATTACACCACCGAAGCGCTTGCAATTGTTCCACTTCAAAGAGTGCACCGTAACGCGCCTTCTTTTTTCCACGCGAGGACGACGTTCTTGGCAGATCGAGTAGGGCGGCGGAGTCCGAGTGATCTTCCCGATTGGTACGACGAAAAGATCGCTTATGATCTGTACCGCTCCCGCCGCGCTCCAGAACATCCAGCTCCTATGAGCGCTACGAGATCGACAAGACGTACAAAATACGTAAGGAATCACGAAACCAATATATGTATCGTAACGATAGTCTATTTAGAGCTACATTCTAATCATAATTAATTTAAAGGTGAAAAAAACTTGGCCTGAAAATGAACTAGCCCACCGAAATAATTAGGTAAAACCCACCGAAAACAAACTAAGATGGCAAGTTTGACAAAAAAATGAGGATTATCAAACATAAAGAATGAAAATGGCACACGCGAAGATTAGTGCTACGGGAATTCTGTGGAAAACTTTACTCGAACATGGTGCAAAAGTGAGTAGAGTAGAAATTGATTAATTTTGACGCTAAACGAATTCCACGAACTAGCACAATCGCAAAGAAAGTGAAATTTCTCAGTACAAATGATAAGCACATGTTAGCAGCACGGCACTCTTGATTTAGATGTTAGAAGGGAACCATAACGACATACCTGCTTTTTGGTAAAGCCCAACGATTTCAAATTCTTAGAAATGAAATTTTGCTTGAGCTCGGGATGTGCTTCGTCCGATTCTTTGCCTGGGATGTTTTCACCTGAAAACATGAAAAATAACTGGAATCCTGCACAACCAAAACTCATAACTTTCGAAAAAAGAAGCTGTAAAAATCAATTTTGCACAGCTTTTTCCGTATGCAGCCACAACGATTAGCGATTTCAAGAGTTAGGGATAGTGAGAAGCGGGCCACTCGAGACCCAACGAAGGAAACAGAGGTAAGTTCGAAATCGCCATTTAGTTCTTACAGATCCTCGAAAGCAACTCGCGAGTAAAGTGATCCGAGTGAAGTGCATTCACGGTATGAACTTCTACATTTAAAACACATTAACCTTAATACTCCAAAAAACCGGAAAGGAAAAAATTCCACGTCCTCTCCTAACCTTAGGCTCACAAACGTATGCGTAAAAAACCGGAATCTCCCCAGTTCAGTTCCACGTGATCTCTCTGTAACCCCAAAATCAGAGAAACCCAATTTGTTCGACACTTTGGAGGTTTATTCATGTATACCTTCCTTACAGGCCCTAGAAATCCCAGATAACAAGCTCAAAATACACTTATCTTCAAGAACTGAATGGCAATTTCACCAGAAGCTCGAAAACAATGAATGAATAATTGTCAACATAAAAGGATTGCTAACAAAAGTAGATCCTACCAGCCATGGGTGGTTTGATTACCGGACATGTAGGAACGGAGGCTGGATCAACTTCTGGATGTGCTCTTTGATCTCCAGCTGAAAGAAGCAACTCAAATACAAATGAAACCGGATTGACAAGGAAGCTACCGTTCAACAATAGTTCTCAAACAGCTTCTCTAATATAGAACTGATTCGGTGCGGGCCCAAAAGCGGCGCAAAGCATCGAAACAACTAGAAATAACCAAGATGCATGCTTAACATCTTACAACGTCATGCATTTTATTGGCAGGCATACACCACACCAAGCTTTAACAAACACTTTGTCACTTGAAGCATTAAGCAGCAGTGAAGCGGCAGAGATAGCTTCATTCCGAAATGCAGAGATTCAAAAAACTGATTCAATAGAATCGTCCAAATGTTCTATCTTCTAATAAAATCGTTTGCAACTGTTCGCTAGCTTGCGAATCCCGCTGAAATAGTTCTTGACGCTCCCGTCCCTCCTTCTTTCTCGAACTCTCCAAAAAGAAGTTGTCCAGTCACTCAGTCATTCTTCTTACAACAGTGAGCAACACCTATAGGTTAACAGATTGTAACAGTCGCGATTCAGACAACCTACGCCGTTTCCGCAGCAAAAAAAACTTGCGCAACTCTGGATATAGGGATGCTGAAAGTATCTGAACGATGTAGACAGTTGACTAGATAGGCTCCTGCTACTTGATGGAGGGTCTGACAGACTCCCGCTCGAAATCTAAGTTGGACAAAAAAATGCTCCTCATTCGGGCAAAAAAATATTAGAGGTGCTTTTGCAAGCATGTGCCCCCAATGTCACGCCTGCACTTCATTAAGAATGTTTAGTTTGGGCTGAAATTTCGGCTATTTGAACTTTGAACTTTGCGATGGGGGGGGGGGGGGGGGGATAATGCGGGCCTAGGCATTGCAAGTTGATTGGCATGACTGAGATCGCACGCAACACACTTGCTCTTCATGCAGTGAGATCATCACATATCACAAAAGAAGAGGAAAATGAAAGGAAAATAACAAATACTTCGGTGCAAATTCATCTACTCACACACATAAGACATTCACGTCTACAAAACGCTGGTCGGATGAGGGAGTTAGAAGCCCAATTCCAATCCGTTTCTCTCAAAAATGGACGGTCAAAGTAAAAAAGCTCATTTCGATCTCCGATCTTCCTCAGCTTCACTACTTAGGATTCCTTTCCACCCACAACGTAGGTTTATTGTGGGCACTGTCTTCAGTTAAATTTTTCCTCCAAGAAAACAGCGTCATGGTATCACAACCCAGAAGCTCATCCAGTTTTGAAAAATCAAGGTGGAATGACCAAGGCTCCATGCCCACATCCGACTAGCCTTTAATCGCGCATACGCACCTAGCGGATGTCGCCCCTTCATAGAAATCGCTCGCAAGGTGAATCGAGGAGATCGAATCATGAGTTTGTGACTGAGTGCACGATCGAGTGGAGCAAGCAGTGGAGGGGCAGGTTGCACTTGAGGTGAGTCCAGTGATGGTCGAGATGATTGCCCAGGTGTCGTGGTGCTGACATTGGACGATGACTGTACAGAAGGATCGTCTTCATCGGATGTATCGCCATCATCCTCTTCACAGCAGTCGACTAAATGAGTCGTCGCCTTTCCCAGATGGAATTCATGAATAATACATAATAGGGAACAAGCTGGTTGGATTGTTAACATAGCACCTCAATGAACTTTAAATTAAATACAAAACGAGCCGGTGAAAAAGTGTAAAAAAAGAATCACGCAGGCAGGTTGTGGTGTTCACACTCATGATGCATACGGGTTAGAATTGTGAATCGAATTCCATTCTGAAAGCGTTACTGGTGCGGCGGTATGGCAAATACGCGAGCGGACTTATCCTGCTTCTGGGATACTTGACCTTTTATCCATTGAGAAACATAAGATAATTATAAAAGTGAACAGTGAGGTTTATCACTCTGGGGTATTTTCCTGCATCACCGACTAGAAGTCGCTAGCTACGAGACCATTTTTTTAATGAAGGAATGAAATAAAAAGGTAAATAAGTACGCATGATTTCAAGAAAAAATATCTGTTACTAACTCTCAACGCGGATTCCGCCTTCTACCTAATCTTTCATGAGCCTAGAAGTTTTAGAAAGAGCGAAGCAACAAGGAAAAACTTAGTTCTCGAAGCCAGAAAATAGCAGATAAACTGAAGAAAAAATAAAACGCTGATGCAAAAACTGAATGGTACACCATATTTCGAGCAATGGCACCAGTAAAAATATATCTTTACAAAGCTTCGAAATCAAACTAAAGCAAAGAAACGCAAGGATATGTCGGCTCCTAACGCGGACGCGGACGCATCTTCCTTTTTCGACTCTATTAATGTCTTTCTTGTAATTCCCTTTGGAAAAATAAACTCACGAGGTGACACTGAATCCTCGCCGACCACTTCAGGAGTTTCTACGATTTCATCCTCTTCGTCCAGCTTTCCTTCACGAAGGAACTGATCAAGCTGATGCTTTTCAATTTCCGGTTTCAATCGTTTGTTTTTGATCAGGATTTTTCTGCGCAAACGATTTGGAGATGGAAGGGGCACTCCTGCTTCGAGCTAAACAGCACAAGACATGATAATCCCGTGACCAGCCCGAGGTGCCACAGATGTGCAATGAAGTCAAAGGAATCAATTATAACAGATGAGAAAGAAAAAATAATATTGGAAATTTGTAAACACCCGAAAAGTTAAAAAGTTACCGGGAAATCGTCTAAAGGCTTCGCAAGCAGCATATCTCCGAAAATGTCCATACAATACTTTGCCATTTTGAGTTGATTAGACTTGGAGCAATGATTTTCAAACGACAAAATAACTGGGAAGTCGGATCGTTCGAACGCCGTATCACGTATTTGATACAAAACGTCCTGAATAGCAGATGTAAGGCATAAAAATTTTAAAACCAAGAGACACTTCAAGCCGAAAAAAATTTGACGTCTTGAAACGAATTTTTTATAAGACTAACCTTGAAGAAAACATCTGTGCACATGGCTTTCCCGTGAGTGATAATCGGTTCTCCCTTGTTTTCTCCTGTACCATCCCAGCAATCCAACTCTATACATCGGCAGCCCGACAATAAAACCTGGGAAACAGGCAATTAGAGTTCAGAAAAATAAGTTAGGCAAGCAACTACATACATAGTATGAACAAAAAAGGCGAGTGTTCAAGAAATTTCAAAAAACATACTTGTCGGTAAATTTCTGAGGAAGATTTTCCTCCGTATTGTCGACCCGTTAAGTAAGTGTTGTGAGAACTGCAAAGGATATAAGAGTAAAACGAGCAAAATGAATGGAAGAAGTCAAGAATCAGTTATTTTTGTTAGGCGTAGATTTCAATTAGAAAGTCTAAACGATATTGAAAGCGATTGGAAAAGCAAAAGCGCACTGCTTTGCCGCAACCAACCTATTGATGAAGTAATGACAGAGTGGCTGATCCATATCTTGATACATATCAATACGATCTAAGAAGACAGGGGAGTTCTCATCCGACATCAAAAAGCGAAGAAACGCGTCACCAGACATTTTTCCTGAAAAAAAAAAGGTCTCAAAACCTTAGAAAATTTGAAGAAATGAAAGGAAACTAGAAATCAAAGAAATAACAAATACCATTGTCGATGTAGTTGTTATCCTGCTCATACTTGCTAATCAATACTTGCGTCTTAGTGCTGTCGAAGAAAGGAAAGAGGATTTCATTCAAACGTGGATCACGTTGTTCTTCATTCAAGAAATTTGTCAGCCTGTCTCGCGTCAGATACTCCTTTTGACCGCTCCTGAAACACAGCAAAGCCAATACTTAAGAGCTTACAGCAGTTGGGAGGGTAAAAGTTCACCATAAAAAGTACTCACAATTTCACAAACAGTTCCTGAACTTCTGAGCGGGGGCAAATTTTGTTGTACAGGCGGATGAACTTTTCAAAAGTTAACATTTCGACGTCCAGCTCTTCCCGTTCCTTCAAAAATCTTCAGTAAGAAGCTATCCAGAATATGAATATACAAGTGATGCAAGGTACGCACGATTAAGATGGAGTCACAACATGCCACCATCATATCAAGATGCGACACACAACAAAATAAAGATCTTTTGTGATCTTTACAAACACAAAAATGAAGTTTGATGAATGTAGTTATCATGCACCTTCTTCTTGCGACTGCTGCTGCATTTGTAGATATGGCTGATCTTCTTTGACATCGAACGATTCATGACTCGTGGAACGGTGTACTACAAACTACAACACAATCACAACACCAATGTAGCTGTCACGTCAGTCATCACCATGTATATTATCGGGAAAAATCAAATTGGATTCAATTTCCGCTCAAATGAGCAGTTTTGGTAAATGCAGGGATCACATTACTTTGCATACACGAGGAAAGCGGTAAACTCATGCAATATAAGTCTTTTCTTCTCATAGAGCGTACCTCGAGTTTCTCTGAAAATTTCTCGTGCGAATGAATTTACCTTATCTCCACACAATCCAAGATCGCTGAGACATTTGAGGACCATTTTTTCGGGTTTACCCGAAGAAAAGGTCTTGACGAGTAGTTTGATCGGAATTTTCCTACGATCGTTCACACTCAGCGTCAGCCACTTCCAGCTAAAAGGAGGATGATAAGCAGCTGTTCGTGGCATTCTCTCTTCTGCTTCAAATATTCAGACTATATTTAGAAATTAGTTAGGACAGGAAGCGGTCATCACTTGAAATTGATTGTTCCACATTTTTATCACTAAGATGTTGCGAAGTTGTTGGAGAAAATGGAATGAGGAGGGTTCAGGTTAGAATATTGATTAGACATACAAGTACCAAAAAGCGAATCTCCTTTGGGGTAAAATGAGAAAATAAAAATCAAACAGAACACGTACTATCTAAGGAGATTTGTAGTCGGGCACACATGTCGCGTTTTCGACTTTTTCAGAATTTCATTAATACCTAACCGCCAAGCCTGAAAAAAGAAAGTGCAGCTACCGCTGAGAAGCAAGGCAGCAGTGAAGTAATAGGAAAGATGAAACATTGACCACTAGAAGACAGAAAAGCAAAAATTGTAAAGGAAACATCAATGTACTCACTTTGGCTATTTCAATAGTCTCAGCGACTAAATAAAAACTTTGAACGTTGACGAGATCTTGCCCGTGAGTTATCCAAATCGTTCTCTCCTCTAGAGTTTCACGAGCCCCTCGTTGTTCGAGTTCGAACAGCACTCGCCCATCTTTTGGTAAACCAGAGGGACGTGCTTCCCAAACCTGTAATCAGTTAGAAGTCCCTTTTCGAGCGTTAAGTGAGAATAAAAAGCATAATTGAACAAAATTTGGTCAAAAGTTTAATATGGGACCCATACTCACTTGGCCGATATCTAATACAGCTGCATCTCTGCCTTCTATCAGCCAATAAAGAAAGAACCCGTATTCGTCAACCCTCACATGGGCGTTGACTTCCAGTGATGTGCTCTCCTAAACAGATATGTTTATTAGATCATGTGAATGGCCTTCGAAGGCTATCACTAGTTATACTTGAAGGTTCAGTCTTATTCATTGAATTCNAAAGGGCTGTCTATCCCATTAGGAACAGCTGAAGTTTTGATGGGAGCTTTCAGTTTATAAAAAACAACAACACCTAAGGAGAAGAAATCAGCAGTCCCCGAGTCTTATTTCTACAAGAAAAACGGTTCCCTCAACGTCGTATATGCAAAAACGACATGAGCTAAACGACACTTACATCATCGTAGCGATCGAAAACGGAGCCATTTAGGAGCAAACTAGGCACGTTTGGGCGCCAGTTGAATTGGAACTCCTTGGCCATTTGGCCTCTTTTCTTTTAGTACACTCTGAAGTCCGGCCAGCTTACTCTCGCAATACCATCGCACGGTTCTGAAAAAATGAATTAGTAATGACATGAACATGCATGAAAAGAAACGGAAGGGACTCAGCGACACGAAGTTAAGTAAAGAATGTGATTCAGTAAGAAAAAAAAGAATGTACGATCTTCATTGGCACTGCAAACCTTGGCAGAGGCCATTGTCCGAGCCTACATCTCAAGTTACATTGGTGAATTGAAGGATCGATGAGGAGTACGTTCAAAAGTAGGTACAAGGAATCTTGTATCAATATCAATACAAAGAAGGGATGACTAAATAATTCAAGAACGGATAAAAACGAGCACAACAACATCGAGCGGGAATATCGGAAAACCAGCTAGGGAATTCTAAAACTATGAAAGATTCCGTTCTTATTCTGAATCCTATACGGGCTCTACCTAATCAAAAAACATCCACTGCTTCCAAAAATGACTTGATATATTGACGATCAGACGAAATACAACCGCTGCTAAGAGCAAAGGTCAAACAACACCAGCAAATGAAGCCGAAATCATCAATGGAAGTAATAATCAGCGAATTTTAGGAGTTTTAATGTGATCATAATAACTGAGAACTCTATTAACGCCTTATAAAATAGCATTCACGTAAGTAATAACCACAGAACATGAGGAAATCGGCAAAAAGTAGAAAAATGGCACTTAAAGGAAGAGTACTTCGCGGTTTCCGATTTTTAATGTCCGCAATTTTGCGCCGGTCGCAACTTCGCGTAACATGGCTGGCTACATTGCTAACAAAAGCCTTTCCTGGCTTTATTCTCGTCTATTTTGTCGGGACCTCTCGGTTTTGCGGCCAGTAATTTTGTCAACAAGAGGATTTGAATCAATACTATCGATTCCCAATCGAAAATCACCCAATTTGCTTCCCAGAAGCCGTGGCCTGGGGTACTGTATAGGAAATCCGCGGGTTCCGACTAATAGGATAGGGGTTTTTACCGTAACTCGCACTAGCAAAGCTGCTCAGAATGCTGGGGTGTACTACCTATACCGTTGCTCCAAATCTTTGGTCGTTTACCTTAAAGAAAGGGAAGGTTCCAGAAATGGAAATTCACCATACTTTACTCATTCCGAGTTTATTTTCATATTTTCAAAAACTCCCTGATTTATCGATCTGATTTCGACTGAAAGGGAGGATGGAATTGGCAATAGAATGTATCTTTTTTCCAGGAATTTTACTATGAATGATAGAGCAGATATGAACTCTTAACAATTTTCTTTACTATTTATCTGAAATGGGATTGAAAGTTGCTTTTGTTTACCTCTAAATTCCAATAAACAAACAGATCCAACGGAGCTAAATTGTCGGTAAAACTTGTGTCTCACCGTTGACAGGCGAAAGAAAACTTGTGGCAATCAAGTGGGGCGTAAGTCGTAAAAAAAGGAAATAAATGTGATAAGCATTTGGTGAATGTCAGCGTAACGATAGGAAATCACTTCGATCTCTAAGGGATAGAAACCACAAAAACCAATCATTCCATAACCATCCACCTATATTTCACGCCCCACCAGCGAATCCGGGAACTTCAGATTTCGGAAAAAGAACAGATTTCTTTCCCCCATTCCCAGATTCACCAGTCCGACTTCCACACACCAAATACACCAAGAGCAGAACAGAGCAGGAATAGGTATGTATGTACTGGTGTAGTGGCCTAACTTGTTAATCCTTTTATTGTCATCTTGAAATATTTATTACCTTTCTAACCAATTACTTCCCCAGAGAGGACGATGTGAGATCTACTTGATAGCTCAGATCTTACAGTCGAATTAGGGTAAGGGCCCCATAAGGATTCCATCTTGTGAAATTCCAAAGGAATGGTACGATAGTGGAGTTTTACTGGGAAGTTTACTGATTGCAGTACTTACTTGTACTTACTTCCTCTCAGTTCCGGATAAGGAAATAAATAAAACGGTCCTTAAATTACCTTTTTTTCTAATTTGAACTTTAATTTTTTATAATTTTCCGTTATTATTTTATAATTTATTCCTTCCTCATAAAAACAGGCCTTCAACTATATTTTACCTACTTATCTCTTACCTAATTACTTACTACATTTAATAAATAAGGTGAGGTTAAGACAGATGAAGAGGCCAGAGCAAGGAGAGGCAGAGAGCGTGTTTCGAGGGTAGCATCCGCTTGAATACAGGAGAGTTTTGCGAATGGCGAAGAAAAATAACTGGTACAATAAGTGAAAACATAGTTGACAAGTAGGTAGTAGACGAATTTGGCTTTGAAAGGTCTAAATGAATTTGTAGGTGTGACTTTAGGTTTAGTTTTCTATTGTAAGCTGAGTATTTACACATAATCGAAGAAGATAAATAAACAAATGAATACCTTGGTCAAACGTTAAATCGTTAAATATGCTATGAAAGTAAGTATGCAGGAATAGTCCCATGAAGTTTATTGTATATGAGGGCCTATTCTGAAATGTTATTGGTGACGTGCATTGCTATCGTTTTTTTTTTGCCACCACATTCGCTTAGGGTACATTAGCGTGGCCTAAATTCCGGCCTAATGACTTTCCTTCTGCATAAGCAAAAACAAAGGCGGAGAGAATGCAGTGGTAAGTAGCTTCGCTGGAAAATCCAGGATCGGGGACGTGCCCGCAAACCAACCGAGTTCCTATCTTTCGTGGGACATACTAAATAATAGATTCGTTTAGAAAGCGATTTTGAAACACTAACGAGTGCATGGCGTACTTAGAGTAGGGATAGATTATAACCACGACTATAGGAAGAGGCCGGACAAAGGTCAACCCAGTTCACGAGGAATTCAGTCGATGAATCACAGCCTAGCGAAGAATATGGCACCATCACGGAGGAATAGAGATATGATACGCGCGACACGCTCGACGACGCCCGATTTTCTGCCAAAATCAATTAGATTTTTCGGTTGTGACATGGAGCAGTTCCCTGTAGAGTCCGGTGGAAGTGTGGCCTTTTCGAGAAAAAAGGGATAGTGGCGCGGTCGTGTTTTGAAAGAAGATACTTACAGAGGTAGTGTAACTGGAAAAAAATTATGAGGCTACTATAAAAGAGCTCGGTTCGGTGACCCTTTGATTGGCCTTGGTGGAAGAAGGTGGAAAAAGGGAAGGAGAGGAGTGGTAAGGGGGGGGGGGGGGGGGGGGGGGGGG